GACTGGGATCTGTATCTGTTTTTATCAGCGAAAGGAAGAACATCAGTTAAGATACGTGGAACAGAAAGCGGTAAAGTATAGTTCTCTTCTGAGCACTCAGATGTAATGTAGCATGTAAACAGCATGTAAAATCTTCATGTTTTGTTCAGTAGTTCAGTTACAGAATACAGCTTATAAAGCAGCTGGTTGAGGTTCAGTTACCTGGCAGAGTTTTGGTAACATGGTCAGTTGTGGAGCAGGGAATGTGCTGCAGATTTTTATGCCCATGTTTTCAGCAAATGCCAGTAAGAATGTACCTGTGTCAATGAGAGAAAGCCAGCAGGATTTCAGTGTTCACCCTGGCTTCCTGTTTGATCAGTGATTTGCATATATGTAGCTTTACTAAGAACCATTACTATATTTTTTGCACTTTGTGTGCTTTTCCATATAGTACTTTTTCTTGCCAATTAGGTATTCAGTTGGGATGAGATGTTATCGTCTCGGCACATAAAAGATCTCAGACTTACGTTTAGAAAGGCTGTGTAACTTGTACTTAAATACATATAAACCAGACTAAAATTAATAATTTGGAATTTCTAGACTTCTCCCCCTCCCTTCTACCCCACCCCCTCTTCCACCCACAATCTGCCCAAATGGTATCTATTTATTTCAGTTTAAGGTCACTGCATCATTTAAACTGACCTGGTGCAAACAAAAGATGTTTAAGTCTTACCCATTTCCCTGTAAACTTAACCTTCTAATTTTCACTAGCAAAAGGTGGGAGTTAAATGTTGAAAAGAAGAACAGAAGTGATAGATATAAATGCTTGTTTCATTGGAGTCCAGTACTGTTTCTTTAGAACTGAATTATTTATGGTGTGCAGGTTTCATCTGTATTTTGCTTTTTAAATTTCAGGGCATTACATTCAAGCGTGTTGGTGTTCCTACTGCAACTGATATAATAAAGGCTTCCAGCAAAGATGCCATCAGGTGTGTTCTGTGACTCAAACCCTGTCATGTCTTACTGTTTTCTTAGTTCAGAAGGGCTGTTTGGGTTGCTCTTTACTGTCTCTCTGAACTCTTTGGACTGATCACTCTTAAAATCTTGAACTGCTGTTTTTTCTTCTGTTCCAGAGCCTAGTAAATACTAGTGTATGTGTGTGTATATTTTTTTCTCCTTTTTTTTTTTTTTCTTTCTTAGGTGTCTGGATTCTGTTCCTCAAACTGCTATTGAGTATTTCAAAGAATCTGCTCGGTTTCTAATAGAAGAAAAGGGACCAGTTAATGCTCTAGCTGCAGCTCTAGCTCATATTTCAGGTGCTACTTCCATTGAACAGCGCTCCCTGCTGAACTCAGATGCGGTAAGGGTGTATGGCTTAACATTTGTCTGAAATCTGGAAAAAAACTTCCCACAAAGAAAAAAATATGCCTCTATGTTGTTTAAATAATTATGTCTCATCATGATTTTATTTATGAGAACTGTACTTAAGCCACTAGTAACTACTAGTATAGTTAAAAGGAAGAATATAGTGGCTATAAATATACTTACTCTCCTGTAACGGTATCTACTTGAAAAGTTAGTTAATGTACTGTAAATTAGCAGGTTTCTTGTGTCTGATAGATGTGCTGAAGCATATTCCTCTCACTTAATGGAACATGCCCCATTTTTTACTCTTTAGGGATTTGTTACAATGATACTAAGCTGTTCAGAAGAAATAAACAATATGAGCTATGCTTGGCGAAAACTGCGAGAACTGTTAGGTGACGATGTTGATAGGAAGGTGAACAGAATGTGTTTCCTCAAGGGAAAAATGGTAAGTTTTCTGTATCTCTGCTACTGAGCTCTTCTGGTTGTCGCCTTTTCTCAAGAATTTCCCCTGAACCATGCTTGGTTGATAAGGACATGACTGGTATAAGGGTGGGCCTCGGTCTGTTTTATTAGGCTTGGGTATCTAAGGGGTTTAAGGCTCTGCTCCACTGACATGCTAAAGAGGTAGCAGAATGCGATATATGATAGCCCACCAGGTAAAAGGTATGAACCATGCTGACTGCTTTAGTGACACAACACAGAACAGGGTTTCTTAGGTCAGTTTTGATAGTGCATGTCCCTTGTAATTCTGTTACCTGAAACTGAAAGATCAGAAAGTTACTTTTTGAGTTGCATATTTAACAATGTTGCAACAATTGTAGCAAAGCTCACTGAGAGATGGTTATTTTAAGCAAAAGTGCTTAACTTCGCTCTTCTTGTCTCAGAATTTGTATGCCTTTTCGGAAACATGAAAATTTGTCATCATACAGTCCAGGATTATTTGTAGTGACGCAGAGAACAAGGAATTTATATTTCCTGCTTTTGAGGGTTGCTAGGAATTATTGCTGATTTGCTCCATCCATTTACTCTGTTTAATCACAGCATTGTTCTATATTTGATATATGGAACACTAAGAGTGGCTTTTCTTACTTCAGATTTGTAATTCTTTCTACCCAGACTGCTTATTCAGACAATGAATAGCATTTTAGAGTGTGAATTATGTATTGTATTTTATCATTCAACTAGTATTAACTTCAAATTTCTAGTCTGAACCTAAATATTCAGTTTACTGGGTGTATAGTTTTGTACTATAGATTAAAACTTCTGGTTTGAAAGAATTTACAAAATGGGCAATAGAGAAGCCAGGAGACCACAATTTAGGATGGAAAGGGTTATACCCTTATTGTTAAAAAGGAAGAAAACATGAATTTGAAGTATTAGCTATGCAGAGGAAAAAAGATGTATATCTGAGAGCAAGTTTAAGGAAGTAGAGGTGTCCTGAGAAATACTGATGCAATATTTCTGAGTGTTCAAAGATTTTTAAATATATTAGGTTTCTATTAAAAAGCACTTTGAAATGTAAAACTGTTCTAGTACACAGATTTGTAGGCTCTGGGTTGTGGGGTTTTTGTTTGTTTGTTTGTGGTTTTTTACATTTTGTTTCATTTGGTTTGTTTTCAGTCCATTGAAAGGCTAGACTTGTATCCATTAAAATAACCCTTTCTTTTTAGGGTGTGTGCTTTGATATTCCTGCAGCAGACCAAAAGGAAATAGAGGTACATTCATTGAAATTTCTGTTTACAGCAGACTGTAGATAAAACTGGCTGGCCAGAAAACATTAAGCAACCTGTATCCTGCCTTTCGTAGCAGCAAAAAGGATAGCTTTGAAGGAATTGAAGAATGGAATAAGCATATAAAGTTCCTCTTGTAAAGAATTCCCTTGGCCCAAAAAATCTGTTGCTTGAAACTTTTGCACTGGGAAGTGTGGTGGTGTGAACAAATCCACCCTTTGTTACTGCTGCTGGATTAACCTTTGTAGGCAGCAAGTTTTGTTACACTATAAAATCGTCTTTTTTCTATTCCCTGTTTCCCCTTCTTTTCACCTAGAATTCTCTCCACATAAAAGGGAATTCCAGGTTTTTGCTTGGCAGAACTAGTATTCCCATGCTAGAATTCTTTCTTCCAGACTTTTCTTCATGTATTTCTCCCTTGGTGTATCTCTACACCCATATGCCCTCGCATTCATCGACTCTAAAAGCAATGCTGGGTTCTGGATTAGAGGGGAATGCAGGGCGGGGTGTGGGTTTGTATTCAGTTATAATTATAGTGGTGTTTTTAATAAATGAAAGGTGGGGAGTTTACTGATGAGGCTGCTCTGTAAAGCTCTGAGGTGGGTTTCAGTTCTGTTCTTTAGTATCTCAGGCATAGTCAGACAGCTGTAGCTCTGAAGCTTAACATTTTGAAACCAGCATTGACCACTTTAGTTAGAAACTGAAATCCCCTATATTAGCACACATTTTTACCTTTTCAGTTGAGCAAATTTAATAATAATGAAATACCCTGTATTTGCATTCCTAGATTTAACTTGCTATGTCTGACTTTATTTCAATAGGCAAAATGGGAGGATTCAAAACAATGGCGTTTGTGCGTGGCGACTGAATTACCTGAGTTAGTAGAATCACAGCGAGGAGGAGGAGGAGGAAGTGGAGGAAATGGCCGAAGCTTCTCAGGCTCCAGAAATGGGCGGCGGGGTGGCTCTGGTAGGAACAGATTCAGAAGCAGAGGCCAGAAGCGAAGTTTCGACAGAGCATTTGATCGTTAATTTCAACAATTTAGAACTGATACAGATGGGACTGCAGTATTTTATATTAAATTAAAATAGGCTGTTCCTGTGTGTTTGTACCACTTGGAAAATCATTCAGTTTTTTTTCTCACTACTACTTCAGTCATAACCAAGATGCTGTTCAATTAAAAAAAAAAAAACCACCCTATAAAGCCCACAAGGAAAATAAACCTTACTCTTTCCTTTCTTTCTTGTATCTCCATTTCAACTGTAAGACCTGAATCTTTATTCTAGAATATGGCTGTTGCATCCAAAACTGTAGTCTGCCTCACTGTATAATATACAGATCTTAGCTGCTGGTCAAACCTATACATTTTCCAAAAAAAAATAAAATATTATTTTACACTCATATTCCGTTAGAAGGTTTTGTAAGTGTGTGTGTGTTGGGTAAAGGTGAGTAGCATAGTTTGAATAAGCACAATTGCAGTATAATTTTTTTGACAATATAGAGTCAAAGGGACCTTAAAGATTACCTATTTCCAGCCCCTTCCACGGGCACAGACACCTTTCACTAGACCAGGTTCTTCAAAGCCCCATCCACTCTGGCCTCAAACACTTCCATGGAGGGGACAGCTACAGCTTCTCCAGGCAACCTGTGTCAGTTCTTCACTACTCTCCGTAAAGAACTACTTTCAATTTCCATCTGCCCTTCCCCGGTGGAAAGCCATTTCCCCTTTTCCTAAGCAGACATATCCTAAGCATTTAGCTGCGTTACTGTATGTGGTGAGTATTGTTTTGCCGCCGGTACGGCGGTGCAGCAACCTGGTTGTAGCGTTGCGGCACTAGCGCCGGGAGGGGAGAACGTGGTGGTGCGGTCGGTGCTCGGGACGCCGGGGAAGCCAGCGGAAGGGACCGGCAGGACAGCGTCGACGGAAGGGGCGGGCAGGGGCCGGTGGCGCAGCAGCCGCATGGGTGGTGTGTGGGGCCGTGCGGCGCGGCTGGGCTTACCTGCAGCCCGGGCAGCAGCGGCCCCGGTGAAGGACCAGCGGCGGCTGGGCTGGCTGTCAGGCGCCAGGGCGGGCCCGCTGCTGCTGCTGGCGGCTGCGCTGCCCCCCGGTCCCGGTCGCCTCTCGGTCACCCTCGGCGCGGCACCTCACTTCCTCCGCGCTGGGGCGGGGCACGCGTCTTTAGGCCACCGCTACGAGACGGGAAGCAGCGCTGCCGCACACCTCCCCGGGGAGCAGTCAGCCGCCATGCCCGCCGCTGGCCCCACCGACAGCCCCGCCGAGCCGCAGGCGCCAGCGGGTGCCGAGACCCTCCGCCGGGGCCGCCGGAGGAAGGTCAAGGTGAGAACGAGCACGGAGCGGGCGCGCGCCACGTGTTGGGCGGGAGCGGCCATTTTATACGGCCCGACCCGGCCCGGCCCGGCCCAGCCCAGCCCAGTTGCGGGCTTAGAGGGGACTGGGGGTGCTTCGGGCACAGGAGTTCAGGCCTGGAAGTCGAAAAGCAGTGCCGTGTTGGAGCAGGCGGGCGGCGGAGGCGGTTCCTGCGCGTGACGCTTGCTTTCCCTCGGCAGGAGGAGACACAGGAGAAAAAGCGGCAGGAGAAGGTGAAGCGGCGCGTTAAAGCTGACGGCGAGCAGGCCCAGCCGGAGGAGAGCGGGCTGGGCGATGGTGACCTTGAGCCCCCCTTGCCTAAGAAGACAAAGAAAATCGAGGAAAAAAGCAATGGCTCCGAGCAAACGGTGAAACCTTCCTCTGATGTAAGCAACGGCGTGACGTCCCTGGCAGTACAGAGCGTGGCCGGCAACACAGCCTCTGGAGAGGACGACAACGACACGGAGGTAGTAATGTCGTGGCCGGAAGAGCCTTGTCTTGCTTAATTGAAGTCGTACTGGTAACAAATGGACTTAATGACATGCATTGGGTGCTGTGTGAGGGGTGTGGGAGCGTTGTGCTGCTGCTGTAGACAGCATTTGCCACTCTTTCCCTTAGATTTACAGTACCTGGTCCTGGGCAATGAAGAGTGCCCAGCATTATGCCTGTTTGCCCAGGCTGCAGGTAGGTGAGTGAAGCACAGCAGCATATGCACCATACGTGGTAGCTGTCTCTCCTTATGCTTTCCTCCTTGTGGCAAATGGCAAGCCGTTTGAGGTAGCTTATCCTGCAGTGGAGGAAGCTAGCTAGCAGAAAACAGTTTCCATGTACTTGCTTCTCATTATGTAGCAACTTGGTTTGTGTCCTGCAGCATAAAGAGCAGTTTCTCACTGCTGCAGAGACAGTCACTGTCCCAGAAATGTGCACTGCTTTGTGCTGGTTGGCCCTTTGAGGCAGTATTCGGCAAGGTATCCTGTAAGGGAAAGTCATAGTTACCCTTATTAATCCCCACTTCTGGAGTTCTCTCTGTTCAGATTTCATCCTTGGCCTTGAAAGTATGTGTGAGAGGGCCCCACAGTTTGCCTTCCCTGAATAGGGCTTTCTGTGGGTAGTTTCCTGTCATTTAGGATGGGAATGTGATTCAAGAGAGTGATTTGTGTACAACAGGTGTAATGGTGTGATCACTCTAGGTCTTTGAAGTAGAAACTAAAGTGTGAATTTTAAGTAAGTATCTACTGGTGTGCAGAATTATGAAGCTGTGTGGTGTACTGAGTACATGTAATGTTCAGGGAAATTCCTGCCTCACACAATGAATTGTGACACCAAATATGTTTTGCTGTGAAAAACAGTTTTCTGATGATTTCAGTGGACTCCAGTTGAGACTTTTTAACAAACAGTTTCACTTTCCTGACCTGTCAAGCATATGTGCATAATGTGGTAAGATCACACAGAGGGTGCAGTTGTTTCCTTCTGTTTTAATTGGACAGTAAAAGGTGGTGCAGGTATATCTCAATTAGGAATGAGATAGCGGTAGTCATGGTCTTGAACAATTTGTTGCAGGTAACAAAAGTAAAAAGACCTTTGACAGGATGTCTTTACTTAAGACTGATGTAAAACCAGGATTCACTTGTCAGAATTCTGTCACACTGAGCGGTGCAGCCTGTGTTGGTGTGTCCTGTCTTCTAATACTGGGTGGCTGTATTTGAGTTTCCCACCTTATGCTGTGATCATGTTCTTGTTTGTGAAGAACCTGCATCACAAGGGTTTTCCTTTTCTTTAAATAGAAAGGAGGTAGCTGGTAAAATCACGGTCGTAAGGCAAATGCATAGCTTTTCTTGTGTGCCTATGTAGGGTGTTTATTTGTTCATCTCTTAGGGGTAGTGACTTTTTTTTTTCATCTTTTATCCTGTTAGGAGCTGACAGAAGAAGCAAAGGAAGGCGACTTCTCCAATTTTCCTCTCTCCCAGAACACCATCAACCTTCTCAAAGGTTAGTTAATGTGTAAAAGAAATGTTTGTCCAGAATTGCATGCTGTTACCCATATAAGCAAAGACAGAAGACAAGAGTAATTGTCTTCCATTTATGGTGTGGTGAGAATATGCATGTGAGCAGTCACTGTAGAGTCAAATAATCTATTGTTAAGTAGGAACAACGTTTCTGTTTTGTTCAAGTGCTTTAAGGTGAATTTATTCTTCCATGGCGTGGTTATTCCTAGATATGCATTCTAGAGGCAGTGTTTCTCTTCTTGTCAGCATCATTCTACTTACTACATATTTTTACTTCAAATCTCCTATCTGCTGTCTACAGTACCACTTCTTAAATAAGTATAATGGCATTTTGTATATGAAGACTATTTAGCTTCTGTAAACATGTAGGCTACAATTATTCTCATACTTCTGGGCATTTTTGTATCTCTTCTTGATTGTTTTTTTTTGAGGAAGTAATCACTGTAGAGTTCTTATACCCCGTGTTGGGAAGCTCTGTGATTCTTGTTCCTCAGGCAAAATTCTCCTTGATCCTTTACATTTTCCTTGCTAGGAAGTTTCTTTTGGATTGTTTCACTTGGCGCTGTGCAAAATCTCTCTGAAGTTTTAGAATGCTTTGACACAAACACCCTCACCACCTCTCCACCTTCAGACCCAAGCTACCACAAAATCTTGGGCTGCAGCAGAAAAATAGGAGAGTGTGTGTTTTTTCCCCCCCCCCCCCCCCTTTTCCGTTGTCTTACGCCAAACATCACAAAGAAAGCTCTATTTCTTTGTAGATAACTCCGCTGTGTGTTTGGGGGTGGGATACCTTTCGAGCTAGAGTAGAAATAAAAGTTAAGATACATGGTTATCTTCTATGTTGCATCTCTTACTGTGTATGGGATTTGACATGATGTGCCCTACATACTCAGGCTAGTTGTATATGAGGGCTTCTCATCTTTCACCTTCTAATGAAACCTCTTTGGATTATCTTACAGCTCGAGGTGTAAAATACCTGTTCCCTGTGCAAGTGAGGACTTTCCAGCCCATATATGATGGCAAAGATGTAATTGCTCAAGCTCGAACAGGAACTGGGAAAACCATTTCTTTTGCTCTTCCGTTGATTGAAAAACTTCAGAGTGTCTTGCTAGATGGGAGAAGAGGACGCACACCAAAAGTAACATACTGCTTACGGGCTAACATCAAGACCTTAGAATATGGGAGGTTTTGAAAGTGATTTTGTAATTGCTTTGAGGAATTTTGGGACTTTTTGCTCCTTTATTGGTGTTTGTAATACTGAACACTTTCATTAGATCAGGAGTTACAATGTGACAGATTTTGCAGCATCACAGTGATAATGTGTTCATGTTTGGAGTTCCTTGTGTCTGCATTTGGGAGAGTGGTCAGGGCACTGCAGTAGTAGCTGCTGGACTTCCTTGCTGCTGTCCTTAGCATGCAGTTTTAGGGCTGAATCGCTTCTCTCTTCTGAGGTAATGTTTGAGTCAGCCAGACTTGTCTCCATTCATTGAAGTTGTTTCTCACTATAAATTCCATGGTGGTAACTGAAAGCTCTTGAGTTGTCCATGTTTCTACCTTTCCACCCCCTCCATGGCTGGAGACTCAACAAATGCAACTAGTGTTCACATTTCTACCTAAGCTTGAGATGGAATCAATAACCAGATACCTGTCATCAGATACACCCATGCAAATTAAGTATATATATTTATCATTAGGCTGAAAAACTGCTTTTAAGATCTTACTGTGCCAAATTGTTTAGTGACTGTTGCTATCCTTAGCACTGAACTGCACCTTCATTGTCTTTGGTAATGTTACTGAAGTGTCTACTTTATCTGGCATTAACTTAAGAAAAAAAATACTGCTGTTCTACATCTCAGTTATCTTGTAATGCTTTGCCTTGTTTCTTCTTGCTGGCTATGTGGCTGTGTTGTGCAGGATCCAAGTGGCAGGAAAGGCTGGGATGGTGGGGAGGTATGGGTACCTCTGTAGTGTAGAGCAAGTATAGCATAAGAATGGGAGCACAAGCTGTTTAATGTGAAGTAAACCCTTTTCTCCTAGCACCCTCTCCCAACCACAGCTGCATTTTGTCTCTTTTCACTCCCTCCAGGTACTGGTTCTTGTTCCAACCAGGGAACTGGCCACACAGGTAGCCAAAGACTTCAAGAATCTCACTAAGAAACTGTCAGTGGCTTGTTTTTATGGAGGAGCTCCTTATAAAGAACAGAGTAAGTAAACCCTAGGGAATTACTAGTGGATTAGAGTTTACTATCTCCAAATGCATTTCATGAATGAAACTGACTTTTTTTTCTCCCTCAGAGTTTCACTTCAGTCAGGAACCACGATATTGCTTTCAATGGAGGTGTACAGCCTGGGTTAAATTATTTTAATTCCAGTAAATCTTGGTTTAAAGAATGCTTGTATGTCTGTGAAGTGACTAGTCCTTTTAGTTTCTTCCTTTTTGTGTGGGTTTTGTGTGGACATACACTGGGACTAGATGACTGTCCAAGGAAAAGAGAGAACCGCATATGTGCGTGCAGCTCTGTCTCCAGAGGTAGCTGTGAAAAAGAATTTATTTGAAACTCTAGAGTCTTTATTGTGATAAAGCCTTGGAGGTTTCTAATGCTAGCTGATTGTTGCTTGGAAATTGGTGCATCTTACTGCAACTTTGCCTGTGGTTTAGCTGGTATTCCTGACAGGGCAACATGGACTGCTGTCACACGTACTCGTTTGTAACCCAGCCTGGATGTAGTAGTTTATTCAGAGATTAATGTGAAGTGCAGTAGGTTTTTGGTTCTAAAATCAGAAGTACTGATGTGTACTGGTAACTTTTTACCTTGTTGTCTGTTAGCATACTGACACTGCTTGTTTTTCCATGTTTTCTTCCAGTTGATCTCCTTAAAAGTGGCATTGATATTCTAGTGGGAACACCTGGACGGATCAAAGATCACATTCAGAATAGCAAACTGGAACTTTCCAGCGTGAAGCATGTTGTTTTAGATGAAGTTGATCACATGTTAGACATGGGCTTTGCTGAACAAGTGGAAGAAATCTTAGGATTTGCTTATAAAAAAGGTAATTGTAACGTCAGGAGAGGAACGGGACAATATAGAAAACACAATTTGAAACCTGCTGATGCACCCCCAGCTTGAATCCTTTACGCGATGCTAGTATTGGACCTCAGAGAAAAGAGTAAGGTAGAACTGGAAAAGGTTCAAAGCCAGGTGACGGATGGCTGAAGGGCTGGAATGGCATCTCTGGAAGGAGGGCAGGTTGAAAAGAGGGAATAAAAGCAACAAACCCAACCTAAATCCCTAAGGCCTAGTGTTATTCAATCTGAGAGATGTGACTGAGTGTAGGGTTAGGGTTATGGCGTAAAGTTGGCAGCTAGGGAATATTTGCTCTTTTCTGATGTTGTGGGCATTCGGCAAAGCCACCAGGTAGCAGGTACAGAGCAGAAGGAGGTGTTGTTAATAGTGTGAAATGCTTTGCCATGTTGTACTAATGTCAGGAGTTTTGAAAAGTGGCTTGAATTACTGGAAATAGAAATATCAAGGATTACTAAAAGCAAGGGTGTAACTTCTGGCCCTGGACGCCACAAAATGGTTCCTGACAGTGTTTCTTCACATCTTTGTGTTTGCTTGCTGTTAGAGAGAGTACTATGAGCTTCATGGATCTTGTGTTTGACTCAGTACAGCCGCTGTCTTTACTTGTCTTTTACTTGACTGTTACATTCTCCTCATTTCTTTAGAGTTGGTCTTTGTCCTGGCAGCCAAAAAATAGAGATGATCTTCTAAAAAAAGAGTTGTCATTATTATTCAATCTTAAAAGTTTTCTTCGCAACTGGAAATAAGTTGTAGAGAATAATAGTGTCTCTTTCCAGTGTGTGTTTCTTCCTGTTTGAAGGTGGGATAGACTTTTTCAAGATACTTTTTTTTAAACTGTTCTCACCCAGGGTAGTTCTTCCCCTGGACTGCAGTGTCCTTTTTAGCCTGCCTTTCTCCTTCATACTGTCATACTGTTCATAGGTAGTTGTATTGGAATACCAGGCAAGGAGGGATCAAGACAAGCTCTTTCAGGTATGTGGGAAGACTTCAGGCTTTATCTAAACTGTTTTTAGCAGATGAACTATAAATGTGCCTTGCATTTCTTCTCAGGCAGGATGAGGGATTCAGTTTAGTCCTGTTCATATTACTATAATTTTGCCTTTGGTGTCTAAAAGGTATTAAAATGTTTTCACTGTTTCTGATTTCTTGTGGCTGACTTACCACACAGAAATGTAGCAAGTTGAGAGCAACTCTTGCTTTTATCAGTTCTTGAGTTTCAGAGCCTGTTGTGATGGCTGTAATTGATGACCTTTCCTTGCAGGTTCTGAGAACAACCCCCAAACGCTGCTGTTTTCTGCAACTTGCCCACGATGGGTATATGATGTAGCAAAAAAATACATGAAAGATGATTGTGAACGGATTGACCTGATTGGAAAGAAAACTCAGAGAACTGCCACAACTGTGGAGGTGAGTGATTCTGCTGCAGAGTAGTGCAGGTCCTGAGCATCTGGCCTGGGTGAAGCAAGTTCTGCGTTGACTTTACAAACAGGGGTCTGGAATGACTTCTCATGTGATTGACACACACATTTTCCAAGGAAAGCTTTCATATGGGGGTAGTAGTTTGCAAGCTTAAAAAAAAGATACCTTTCTGCATTTGTTTTTGTGTGTCCTGTGTGTGGCTTAGATTTAACATAGGTGGTTATCATGTTTCTTTGCCAAATAGCATTTGGCTATACAGTGTCGGTCATCTCAGAGAGCAGGAGTTCTGGGAGATATCATTCAAGTGTACAGTGGCAGCAGTGGGCGGACCATTGTCTTCTGCGAGACCAAAAAGGAAGCAAATGAACTGGCTATGAATGCTTCACTCAAACAGGTACTGGGGTCTGAACAGAGAGCAGTGGTTATAGATGTTCAAGACTTGAATGCCCTGAAATAAATACAAGGTTGCAAGTGTATGGATCAAGTTGCTTCTGCGGGTGGTTTTGAGATTTCTGAAAGCTGCTTCTAAAAGTGGAGCTTTGAAGTTAAAATACCTTCTTGACTTTGATTATGAATTTTATTCCTTTGACTTGAAGGAAAGGAATCAATGAGAAATATGAAGCTTATGCTGAATAACCAGGAGATGTTAATAATAATCAACAGGAGCTAGTATAGTGCGTATAGTCGTTTTTGTATTAGTGTGCTTTTTGGATTCCCATCTTTTAATAGTATTTGTTATTTGAACATTCAATATCCAGGAAAATCAACTAATGGGATAGAATGGAATGTTCTGTTGCTCTTTGTTCAGAACTCAGGTGTTACACTGAGCAGGTTCTCTGCGCCTAACTTCAATTACTTTTTTCTTTTTTCTTAGTGTGGGGAAAGGTGCTGGAATTTTTTTTTTTTTTGTCTAGAGAAAATCCTATTTGATACTAAATACTAATTTATGGAGAAAGAGCAATGGTGAGAATGCATGGTTTGCTCAGTATCTGATAAATGTCATGTATTATCCACATTAAAATCTTGTGGCAACAGTTTCTGTTGGCCCTGCTGCTTTCACAGTAAATCCCATTACTTTGTTCCTGTGTCAGTACATGACACGTTGGGTTTTTTTATGCTAGTAAGTTATGCTTTAGCATGTTAATTACTTGAATTCTGAGTTGTGACTCTCCCCTTTCTCCTTGTCAAACACTTGACCTGTTTCTTGTCCCATTCGAAGTGGAGGTTGTTCAGATCACCCATAGGGCTTGGGCATTCCCTGGAAACTCATGCGTTTGTGAGTTTTGGGATGGCTTCCCATTGAAGGGAGTGAAGTCTCTCAGTAGCTCTTGACAAGCACTGTTTAAGTAAAGTTGCTTTCACTTGTCTCAGTGGAAGTGAAATCTGAAGTGGGCTCTTTTGGCAGACTGGTGTGCCATGATGTTATGGTAAAACTACTACTTATGAATATCACTGTCCCAGAAAAGGATAAAACCACTTTGGTATCAGCTGTGTAATTATTTTCTTTTGCTCTGTACAATATTTTGTGTTTTGTACTAGACTCCACTGTTAAATGACATGTTAATGTTTTGTTTCACTGACAGGATGCCCAGTCATTGCATGGTGACATTCCACAAAAACAGAGAGAAATTACATTAAAAGGCTTTAGAGATGGTGTGTTTGAAGTTCTGATTGCAACAAATGTAGCTGCCCGTGGTTTGGATATTCCTGAAGTTGACCTTGTTATACAGTGTTCACCACCAAAAGTAAGTCATATGGAGAAACTGAAATCATAATGTATTTTTTGTGACAGAACAGTGGGTTATTTCTCTCTTTCACCAGAATTATGTTCTCATTCACAGATAAAGTGGATTATTTGTAAACACAGGCCTAGAATTTCTTAGTTATGCTTTTATATTTTGAGCTTTGAGTAAATCAGAAGTGATGGGCTTTGGTTACTCTGGAAAGTTGTAGAATAGCTTTTGACATCATTGATCATTCATAGCATTTGACATCAGCATTTCTGAATTCCTTCTAAAAATTGTTTTCATAACAACTCTAAAATATTCCTGCTGCCTTTTTCTTCTTTTGAAACTCATTTGAGCTTTTTTATTAACATCCTTCCCCCCTTACATCAGTAGTGTTTGATAAACTTGAGGCAGCGTATCTTGGGCAACATAGTACCTGCAAGCCCGAGTGATTTGTCCATAATTTGGGTATAGAGACGTAATGTATTGTTCCTTAGGTTTCTGAATTAGGATTTATCTTGCATTTTCTCTCTTCCAGTGTGTAGATGTAAACATTTTAAATAACTTTAGGTTTTCTCCTGTTCTGTCTGAATTTCTGAAGGATGTTGATTCCTACATCCATCGTTCTGGACGTACAGGTCGAGCTGGCCGGACTGGGGTCTGCATTTGTTTGTTTCAGAGAAGAGAAGAAGATCTTCTAAAACAAGTTGAGCACAAAGCGGTGAGTTGTACCTCAGACCCCTGTTTAATGAAATTACTCACCTCCTAAAAGACTCTTCCACTCTTAGACTTTGTAACCATGGGCTACTTAGAACTCCAGTATAGAACTCATCCTATTGACTAATAGGCCTAAAATGTTGATATTTTGTGTAAGTGCTTTTATATCAGTGTCATGGAATCGTAGAATCGTAGAATAGTTAGAGTTGGAAAGGACCTTAAGATCATCTCGTTCCAACCACCCTGCCATGGGCAGGGACACCTCCCACTGAACAAAGGCTCTGTCCAGCCTGGCTTCAAGCACCGCCAGGGAGGGAGCATTCACAGCTTCCTTGGGCAACCCATTCCAGTGCCTCACCACCCTTACAGTAAATAACTTCTTCCTTATGTCCAATCTAAACTTCCCCTGTTTAAGTTTTAACCCGTTACCCTTGTCCTATCACTACAGTCCCTAATGAAGAGTCCCTCCCCAGCATCCCTATAGGCCCCCTTCAGATACTGGAAGGCTGCTATGAGGTCTCCACGCAGCCTTCTCTTCTCCAGGCTGAACAGCTCCAACTTTCTCAGCCTGTCTTCATATGGGAGCTGCTCCAGCCCCCTGATCATCCTGTGGCCCTCCTCTGGACTTGTTCCAACAGTTCCATGTCCTTTTTATGTTGAGGACACCAGAACTGTACACAATACTCCAAGTGAGGTCTCACGAGAGCAGAGGGGCAGGATCACCTCCTTTGACCTGTTGGTCACGCTCCTTTTGGTGCAGCCCAGGATATGATTGGCTTTCTGGGCTGTGAGTGCACACTGCCAGCTGATGCTAAGTTTCTCATCGACCAACACCCCCAAGTCCTTCTCCGCAGGGCTGCTCTGAATCTCTTCTCTGCCCAACCTATAGCTGTGCCTGGGATTGCTCCAACCCACTCATGAGTCTGTTGATGTCAGCAGACAGACTGTAACAGGAATGCATGAAGCATACCACACCTTGCATTACAGTCTGCATGTATATTCAGTGTAAAGTAGCTCCGGATTAACAAAGGCGGGAATTTAAAAGCTTTAGTCTCGCTTGAGAAATAACTTAGGTAAAGGCTGTGTTGATGGTATAAACAATAACTAGTTGTCTCGATGTGACTTAAACAGAGTTGAGTTGTAGAGTGTTAAACATATCTTTGACTGTAATTTCTTTTCTTGATTTCAGGGGATTACATTTAAGCGTGTAGGTGTTCCCTCTGCTACAGATGTAATCGAAGCTTCAAGTAATGATGCCAAAAAGTAAGCTTATTTGCCTGTTCTTAAAAGATGTCTAGATATGTTACTAGCAACAGTGCTGTTAATGCAAAGTTTTAAGGAAGCAGACCTGTATGTGAGCATATCTACTTATGTTGTCAGTTGCTTTGCATGTAGATACTGATTTGTTCATAAGATGATATCAATGAACTTCTATGTGCTTGCAAATATTAACCTTTGTTTATATCCTCAAAAATCAATGGCAAAACAGGGAATTACTGTCATGAAGGAAAACTTACTTCATCTACTCAGATGATACAGTAGCAGCGTGTAAAGAGCAATGCTTAGCATGTTGAAGAGTTAAACTTTGCCCTAGTGAGGGTGTTGTAGCCCTGTCGTGTGTTTCTTTGTATCATTCTATCCTAAGGGTGAGAGGTTTTTTATTCCATATGGCTCTGTTTACATTTGCTGTCCCACTGGTGGAAATAACATGGACAGAGATTATTATAATTAGCGAGAATTTGACTGGTGTAAAGGAGACCATGGGAAAAATGGTGGGAGGTGCTGGTGTACCACAAACAGAGAAGTAGCTGTTCTCCACTTTCAAGGTTGTTTTCACTGTCTTTCCCAGAAATAAATGATTTAATCAGCTTGCACTGAGAGTGGCATTGTAGTGGCTTGCTTCTCTTCCTTGTGAAGTAAAAGCAAGGGTACAGCCTTAAGAATGCTGATACTTGAGAGCCTTCCCTTGATGTTTTTATCAGTGCTGTCAGACAGGCCATGTTGTACATCCTCAGTTTTGAACACATCTTTCAAGAGTCTTTGCTTAATGAGAATGTGGGTATTCAACATCCTGAAAGCGTGGAGTTAATGGAGTGGTAATGAAGCATGAGAGCCAAGGCTTTTAGAGATAATTTTTTAATCTTGAAAGGTGTCTGTCTTAAACGTAACTGCATTTCACACAGGCCTTTGCTGATCTATTAAACTTCTGTTGTCACCCATGTAGGTTGTTGGAGGCCATTCCTCCTTCTGCAGTAGACTACTTCAGAAAATCTGCTCAAGAGCTCATAGATGAAAAAGGGGCAGTTGCTGCCCTGGCTGCAGCTCTGGCCCATATTTCTGGGGCATCTTACATACAGCAGCGCTCCTTACTCAACTCGACTGCGGTAAATAATATTATACTTGTGTTAACAAGAATGGATAAATGAATTGCTTACATCTGGTCCAAGTGTGGCATCTTCTCAGGCTCTTTCAGTACGGTTTCTGAGTAGCTTTTATCCCCATCTTCTGGTCTGTTGCTCGTTCCTTAATTGAAATCAGCTCTTACTGATACTATACAAGAAACCAGAAAAACTTGATATCAGTAAATTTTCTAAAAAGAATTTCTCCAGAGATCAATGTGACAAATCTTTTTGGTCTAAGAGAATTTAATGACGTTTTACAAGCTAATAGATGGGTTTGTGCTATTGTAGTTTTCCCTTCCCAGGAAGCTCTTATATTTCCATAATATTTCAGTATGTCTCTCATTGGATTACCTGATTTCAAAGAGAACTTGAGAAGGAAGGTATGGCACTTCCTTTTTCTGGTGCATTTAGGGAGAATTTGGCCTAGTTTGTAGCAGTAACTCACTGTATATACTAAATAAATGTGTCTTCTTCTGGCTAAAGTGCAAAAATGCTCTTGGTCTTTCTGTCAATGGCAGTCCTATGTGAGATGTATGCCTTCAGCTTTTTAGGAGGATTTTAGTTGCTTCCCTTTTGGGAAGTTGATTTCTTGTTATTGTAATGTGGTATTTAATACTATGTTATTTATTACATAGTTCATTAGTTAGTGAGTTACAGGCTATCCAACCAAGTTTCATCTTACAAACATTTTTCTGTTTGTTTCCTGAAGGGCTTCGTGACCATGGTGTTAAAGTGTTCAATAGAAATGCATACAATGAGCTATGCCTGGCGAGGACTAAAAGAACAGCTTGGTGAAGAAGTAGATTCCAAAATATCCTCAATGCGGTTCCTCAAGGGAAAGACGGTAAGGTGGCCCAGCCTTGGGGAAGAAGGGTGGGTGGGTGTGTTTGGCCAGTTTTTGCAGTGATTGAGGCAGGTGGTCTGAAATATTAGTGCAGAAATTTTGATACCTCACTCTGTCCCCATTTAATCTCATTTCTCAGAAAATGTTAACCTATCATGAGCCCCCCGAAACTGCTGTTTATGTATTCATTATTTAAAACGGCCAACACCTCCCCCCCTGCCCAAATAAAAAGCATTAAAGCTAGTGTTTTAAGACTCTTACTTGGATGGAGATTCTGTTCCTAAATGACAATGTAGGAACTTTTTCTTTAGAAAAAAAAAAAAAGGAGGGTGTCATCAGAAATATGTATATAGTGGGTGTGCTTGTTTTGACCTTTATATTGTAAGCTCATGCTAATACTATATACCACCACCACAAGAACACATCTGTAAACCAGTGACTGACTGACCTGAGCAGTACAGCATTCACCTGACTGTCAGCCTGTAACATTTCTGACACTTGTCTCCTTTGCAAGTGTGTTGTCAGGGACCTTGTGGTTTCAGATGATGCTTGTCTTACTTTTAAACAGACGGGCTGATGGCAGGTGATGCTGCTTTCGGCACAGAGCTCATAAAAAGCTTCTCGCAAAAGACCGTGCTTTCTGCCATTCCTGGTTTCTACACTTAGTGTGTGTAAGCAGTTGCAATTGCTGCCTGCTTGGAGCTCTGTGTCTTCATTCTTGGATATGTCTTTTGGAAAGCAAATGGCTTTTTTTTTTTTTTTTCCTGCTATAGGGGGTGTGCTTTGATGTCCCTGTTGGCGAGCTGAGTAACATACAGGTAAGTTCTTATAGTCAGAATTGGCTTTAGAACCTGAGGATTTTAAATTTGGTTGCCATGTATATAGGGTAGAGTACAGGATGGTTTGGAAGGATAAGGTTTGTGTTTTAATGAGGATGTTGCACAAACAACAGTCATTAGAACCAAGCACAGCACAGTCGTTAGAAAGTACCTTGTCATGTCTCTTTCTCATTTCAGTTCTTATTATTTTTTTATGAAACTAAATCCTTTGTTCTTTGGCTACTGTTGTGTTTGAACTCTCCAATGTATTTGAGAGTTAACCAGTTTTCTGTTGACTTCTCTCTTGTCCTTTTGTGATTGTTTATCCTTTGACACAGGACTGAGTTGTCTCCTAGGAGCACTGTGCTGGCCTGTTTTGGTGGGGGGGGGGGGGCTTTATCTGGAAATGCCTTATTACAAGCAAGATTGAATGCAGTAGTTCACCTTGGACACGCCTGCAGTCCCATGATATCTGGTTATGTTGGGGTTTTTTTTCAGGAGCAGTGGACGGACACCAGGCGTTGGCAGCTGTCAGTGGCAAAAGAACTGCCTGAGCTGGAAGAGTGCCCCCAGGAGGCAGGACGAGGGTTCTCCAAGTTAGGAAATGGGAGGCAAGGCGGTGGCGGCTTCAAGAGAAACAGCTGGTTTAAGAATGGAAACCGATGGCACGATTTTAACAAGTGACTTGATTGGCCTCTGGTACAGATGTGGACTGAGCTGACTTTTATCAAAGAGTAAAAACCTGCTCGCCGTTCCTCTTTGTCCTTATTCCTTGGTAAAGCAGCCTGTCTTTGAGTATCCCCAAACATTGTGCTTGCTGAAATGACTGGCTGCAGGGTTTTTTGTTGGTTTTTTTTTTCTTTCTAAGGTTTTTCTTTTTGCCCAGCTGACATTTTTCTGCCGTTAAACTAAACTAAACGTCATGCGTGTCCTGGGGAGATGAGTGTTTTACTGGAAACTTGGCACAGTGGGGAACAACACTTCTGAGCAGGGACAGTTACCACACCTTGCCTCGTTAACAGCTCTTACATTAAAAAATCTGATTCTAAGAGAAAAAAACCCCAGACAAATGTGGAATCAAGGCCTCCACTGCCCTTCCTCTAGCGTGCCGGGTATCCGTGGCCGTTGTGGCGCTCACGCTTGCCTGCCACCATCTGCTGATGTTAAGGACTCGGTGCCGTTTGCCCGCAGCTCCGGCACACGGAGGGCTGTGGGGAACACCGGGTTTTGTAAGCCGCAGGAGCGGGGGGCAGCGGGACCGCCCGCACTGTGGCAGCCATGACAACGAGGCGAGGCGGGGCGGGGCGGGACTCCCCTGCAGCGCGGCGGTTATTGGAAGGCAGCGCGTCAGGTGGCGGCGCGCGTGACGCAGGGCGGCTAGCAGAGGGAAGATGGCGGCGGTGGGGGGCTGCGGGTGGGCCGGGGTGTGCGAGAAGTTCCGGACCGCCCGGACGCTGTCCACCGTGGAGTCGCGCAAGGACCCGGAGACTGACCCCTACCGCTCCAAGTATAGCGCCCGGGCGCTGCTTCAGGAGGTCAAGCAGCTGCTGAGCGCCGCCGAGGAGGGCGACGAGGCGCGGCTGCTGGCTGTGCGGCGGGCTGTGCTGGAGTACGAGCTGGGTGTCAACCACACTGACACCGAGGAGTTATCGGCCGGCGAGGAGCACCTGCAGCGCTGCATGCAGCTACTCGAGCCGCACCGCCTCTCCCCAGACTGCGTCTCCCTCTACATACAGGCCCAGGTGGGCTAGGGCTGTGAAGGCCGAAGGGGGTATCTGTGGTGCGACTTCGCAGCCTGCGGCCGGAGGGTCCGAGGGGTCTAGGGAGAGGGCTTTTGGGTGTCATTAGGCGGTGGGCTCTGGCAGAGGCAGGTGCCTTGGCTGTGGGCCGAGCTGTGTGGTCCCTGCGGTGGGCTGCAAACGGTAGGGGGCTTCGTGGCACTTCAGTCTCTTGAAGGGTAGGGGTTTTTCAGCAGCAGCAGCCCTGGCATTTATTTCTTGCTCAAATTAGAAGATCACAGGTGGCAGCTGTGGATGTATGCCATCGTTTTAAACGTGCTGCTGATGCTTCTGGGTGTGCAGAGCATGTAACAGTGATAGATTTCTCTTAATAGAAAGTGAGTGTTGACAAAGCAGTGTACTCTTCAGCATGGACTGAGGCAGAAATTGTAAGAACTGAGCAAGAATCACTTAGTAGAAGACCTTATTATGGCCAGAACTTGCTTTGTGATTCCTTAGCTGTTGTTTTGTTGTCCAGGTAAAGTTGAGAGATGTTTCTGTTTATGCCATTTACCCGAAGAGGTAAATTTTCCTTAAAAGTTGTCACTTGTTTGCTTTTCATTCTTGCCTGTTAACTGTTAATCTGTTATATTCCAGACCAGTAAATAGAGTTTTGTAAGGCTAGAAGTAATACTCAGTTCATTCTGAAGAAAGTAATACTGTTAACAAAACTGAATCTTGCCAGATGAAGATTCACAAAAGGCTCAACAGCTTTATTATGGCAGCTGGTATATAGTTAGATATTTATCTAGACTTTAAACAGAGCAGTTACTTGATGTTTCTGTGAAAAATGGCTGCTCTAATTAGAAAAGGCTTGGTAGTGCTTCTTTGTCAAACACTGCAAAGCTGTCAAGGGATTGTGTGTTCAGGTAGAAAGGCGCTAGTTGAAGAGTGACTTTACCTCTCTTACATAGATTACTTGAACTGAGTTATGTAGAATTCACAAGGTTACATCTGCTCATAATCCTTGAGTGTGACAGTTTGGCTGCACTGCTGCAAACCTATAACTTGTTACAAGATTGGAGGTTTCTTGAGCATCCAGTCAAAATCAGATAACCTTATCCCACTGTGTTCCTAGGAATTTGTTGCTTTTGTGGCTGAGTGCCAAGAAATCCACTGTGCTTTTGAACTGATGTGATGGAAAGCAACATTTCTCTCAGTTGGACAAAAGTTTGCATGGATTTTCCTGTTTTGTGGCCTTTAGGAATATTGTGGTTTAAGCCAGCAACCCAGTGAAGTCGCTTGTTCACCTCCCCCCGCTCCTGGAGGGATGGGGAGGAGAATCAAAAGAATGTAACTCCTACGGGTTGAGATAAGAACAGTCCAGTAACTAAGGTATAACACAAACCACTACTGCTACCACCAATAATAATAATGATAAGGGGAATATCAAGGGGAGAGAATACAACTGCTCACCACCTGCTGACCGATACTCAGCCAGATCTGAGCAGTGATCTAACCCTTCTGGGTAACTGCCCCCAGTTTATATACTGAGCATGATGTGCTGTGGTACGGAATACCTCTTCGGTCAGTTTGGGTCAGGTGTCCTGTCTGTGCTTCCTCCCAGCTTCCCCTCCTCCCTGGCAGAGCATGAGACTCAGAAAGTCCTTGGTCAGAGTAAACATTACTGAGCAACAACTAAAAACATCGGTGTTATCAGTGTTGTTCCTAGGCTGAAAGTCAGAAACACCGCACTGCACCAGCTACTGAGAAGGAGAAAAATGACTGCTACTGCTGAACTCAGGACAAGGAAACAGCAGGATAGTTTGTTATGTGATGTGATCCAACAGTAAACAGGTCTGCTGTGGTCTGGCACTTTCATCAGGCATGTAGCTGAGAGCAGTGATTGTAAATGAGTATGCCCTCAACTTTTGTCCCAAAGGCTGTTAAAGACTTGAATGTTTAATTAAAATTTCTAATATCAGTAATTGTTAACAGTGGCTGTACTTCGTCCTGTTCTAGGACGTACAGAATACATTGTCAAAGCACTGAATTCTGTTACAAGAAAAGCATTCCTTTTTCCTGCTGGGCCTGTTTCTATAGCCCTACTTCTAACTTCTGAACTTCTGCATAAGGTTGTACATCACAGTTTCTGCCTAATTAAATTTGGTCTGGTCTGCTGCTCGGCTGTGGGCAAAGTATTTCTGCTCGTAAACATCATGCAATATGGTGCTTTCTTATGAAAATAATAAAAGCAGTGAAATTAAAAGGGGCACAGGGCTGGCACACAACTACATGTTCTAACTCTTGAAGTTTTGTGGCTTTTTAGCCCTGCTGCATTTTATAACAACACTGCCTAGGAATTAAATTAGCGCATTAGACAAAGATTGTTAATGGCTTCATCTTATTAATAAAATTAGAGGTACTTTTTGTAAAAGGTGGGTTCACGAATACAGTAATGTTACTAAGTGACATTGCTGTAATTTAAGTTTGAAGGCAGTATTCCATAGTTTTTGCATTTTAATGATTCTTTCCATGTAATTTCATTGTTGAAAATACACAAGCATTCGTTCCTTGCATATCTTTTTTCTATTAAATTTTCTACAGAATCATGATGCCAAGTTTCTAGTTCCTTAGCTCTTTTAATGACATTTTTATATGATATAAAAGCTGCATGAATGAGATGCGTGGAAAAAGGTCTTGTTTGAACAAGCCAATCCTTACATAGCAAACACAAAAAAGGTGCAGGATGTGAGGTGACTTTGTATTTGCTGCTGTGTGAGAATCTTTTTTGAGCAACTTGTGATATGGTCATGATTTTTGCTTTGAAATCCACTGTATTAGAACACCTATATATAAGGATGAGGACTGATAGATTGTTTGGAGAAAATGTGTAATGTAAGTGGAACATAATGGAAAAATAACTGACAAGCTTTTCGTTTTGCCTTTAGAACAATTTAGGTATCCTGTGGTCTGAAAGGGATAAAATTAAAACTGCGCAAACTTACCTGGAGTCTGCAGAAGCCCTGTATAACCAATACATGAAAGAGGTACTGTGTTTATTATTAATATTGTGTCAGGTTTACTTTCATGTGCCACTTAGAGTTTTAGTCATCTTTTAAAAAAAAATATTATGTGATGCAACTTGAGTTTCTGGGCTTTATACTGGCTGCTATGATTCTTCTGAAAATTGATTTGTTTTGTACTGTCGGCATAGAAAGAGGCAATCTAGAGGATCACTTACTCATTTCAAAATGGACTTATTCAGGTAAATAATTGTGCTCAAAATTAACGGTCCTTTTTGAAAGCTCATTGTATTGATAATCCAAAGTTGAAGCCAAATAGAATGTATTTGCTTGGTTTGCTCTGATTGTGCACAGTGTTGCACAGGAGCAAGTAGTTTAGCTCCATATCCAAGAGGACAGTCTTATAAACAGTTAAACTTCTCATGCATATTAAACAGCCTTTTGAGTTGTGGATTGACAAAGACTCTCTTGTGCTATTTTTAAGCTTTTTGCAAAGCTATTCCTACACTCATTTGCCTCAGGGACAGTTTGTGAGTGAGCTAAATACATTTGAAGCCTTAAAGGAGCAGAATATGTGTTTCAGGACAGCTGTAAATGTTGGAGAGACCATAGTTTCATGAATTTACAGTTCAGGTTTTAAATGAACTTGGTTCATAAAGAGGACATGAGATCCTTGTAGTGGTCCAGGATCTTTAGGATTTATACAACCCTGTCAACATTAACCATTCACAAATGAGAAAAGTTTGAATTTACAGTTCTTAACATTCCCTATTTTTAGGCTATCAGGAAGCCTTCCTGTCTGGGAATCTTAGGTAAACTGTTGATGATGGAGGTGTTTCCTGAACTTGTGAATTTAGTTGTCAACTGATGGGGTCTAGTTAACTTACAAATTGGTTGGGGTTGGTTTTTCCCCCTTGAAGCACTTAGAGCGTAACCAAGGCAAATAACTGTTGTAGCATTGTAACACCACTTTGCTATTAGCAAAGCTGTTTGATTGTTTAACGCAGTATG